AATTACGGTCTCTTCGACTAAAATATTTTCAGATTTCTTGCACTTCCGGTTATACCGGAAGTCGCCACCTACTTTATTTTTTTAAATGGAACACCTTGTATTTTTTTACATATTTGGATTTATCTGTTTTCAGGGTTTATAAATAACTTTACTTTTTGCAATTTGATTCGGCCGTTCTCGAGTTATTCGATTTTTTCTAGAAAAATCCGCTTCAGCAGACATTTGTTCAAAAAATCAGAGGACACTCAATTTTTGGGATATCAATTTAGGATTCAGAATATGCTTAAACAACATGATGGAGTATGTTTTCGTGTTGAGAACGGCTGTCTAGAACGTTTGGTCACTTTACTATGGCACGTTAACTTTTCAAAATTTGGAAGTACCATAACTTCATTTTTTTAAATGGCACCCCCCATATTTTATTACTTAGTCGTCTTCGGCGTCTCATTCTACATCTTTTATATCCCATATGTCCCATACCTAACATTAATAGTTTGGGAGATAATTAGGGTTTTTTGAAAAATGCACACATATCATATGGATATTTAGCCTAGTGTGCCATGAAAAACAAGCCTTCTCAATGAGTTCTTGTCAAAGACTCACTTGTTTACGTCACTTGATGCATGTGAGCTAATAATTATCTGTTATGTCCCTTAATATTAGTACTGAAACGAGTTAAAATCGATAACAATAACGAAAGTAATATTTACACAAATCAAGAAATTCTTAATTTATTTTTTTTGCATGAAAAGCGCGACAAAGTTCGTAGTATGATTCCCAGATCTTCTTTGGCAGCTCGAATTGAGGTGTTGGGACTGGGCTCGAAATAAGCCAAGGTATTCACCTCTTCCGTTGCATTATCTACTACATTTTTTGGTCAGTTTAACACGTGATTAATTCGTCCAAAATGCAAAAAATTTGCTTCTATTCCTCTAAATTTACCTTTTGTCATCGGAGATAAATGTGGATAATTTTCATTAAACATTCTGCAAGTTCTACTAAGAACTTTGTCGCACTTTTCGTGCACAAAAAATAAATTATGGATTTCTTCATTTGTATAAACATTATTTACGTTATTAATATCCATTTTAACTGGTTTTAGACTCACAAGCATCAAACAACCTAAATTAGACTTTGACGTTTGTCAATAAGTCATTAAACATTTGTTTTCCATGGCACACTAGGTTAATATCGATATGATATGTGAGCATTTTTCAAAAAACCCTAATTATTTCCCAAAGTATTAATGTTAGGTATAGGACATATGGAGTATAAAAGATGTAAAATGAGACGCCGAAAACGACTAAGCAATAATATTTGGGGGGTGCCATTTAAAAAAATTAAGTTATGGTGCTTCCAAATTTCGAAAAGTTAACGTGTCATAGTAAAGTGACCAAATGATCTAGACAGCCGTTCTTGGCACCAAAACATACTCCATCATATTGCTTAAGCATGTTCTCAATCCTAAATTGATATCCCAAAAATTGAGTGTTTTCTGATTTTTTGAACAAATGTCTGCTGGAGCAGATTTTTCTAGAAAAATTCGAATAACTCGAGAACGGCCGAATCAAATTGCAAAAACTTAAGTTATTTATAAACCTTCAAAACAGACAAATCCAAATATGTAAAAATATACAGGCAGTTCCATTTAAAAAAATAAAGTAGGTGGCGACTTCCGGTATAACCGGAAGTGCTAGAAATCTGAAAATATTTTAGACGAAGAGAACGTAATTGATAATACTTAAGTCTGAATTCTCAATTTTTTATTTTGGCCAGAACCACAGAAACGCCTAATGACCGGTCTCGCTGAGACACCCTGTATACTATATTCCATACATAATGGGCACCCTGTATTGAAAGAATCAACACTTTATACAAATTTCAAGAAGACCGTGTGGATCTGACTTCATTTATACCATCCTGATTTGAATGCAGCATCAAGGGGTGAGGCATGCTAAGTCAGATTCCAGTCTATCTTTCTAGTCAGGTTCTTTTTAATAGGGGTGAACTATTAAAAAGAAAACCAATCTCTTAAGTCAAAATCTCTTGCGCTGTTTTCTCCATCTCATAATGTCTTGAACCTCGCATTGGTCTCTCATGATTTCTCTGATTCTTTGCAAGATGTTGAGTACTTAAAATGTGCACATCCAAGTGGGAAAATTCCATGAGTTTTTGGATTTCTTATGCATTCAGTTTATAAAGTAGAGACAATTATGTTTAGGGCGTTGATCGTTTGATAAGACTTGTGTAGTTGTTTTTGGTCATCCTCTGAGTTGACGATTTTCGCAGAGTAATCTTCTTCGATTACTTTGTGCATTAATGCTTAATCTATAAAGTTTACCTTCATCATACATAAATTATAACACATTACAGTTACCTTTTATTTCCTCGTAAAAGAAAATAAAGCGATTCAACAAATCACTTTACGTCAAGGAAACGTTCTCGTAAATGTACCATCTAATATAAAGAAACATCACAGTTACAAAAATAAAGAGGTACTAAAACGGCACTTTAGACCTTTTATTGTACAAAAAACGCCCTTGCAAAAACAACCCCTTCGCGATGATAAAAAAGGAATCCATTATAACGGCGCATTTTCAGCTTGGAACTTGCAAAAAACCCCACAACGTTTCCACCTTTTTCATCCAATACTCCAGCTGCGCGGGGATATTCAAAAGCATAAATATGCAATTAGCGAACGTGTTTGCAATACGAATTTGCCAAACGAATTTGCAATACGAATTTGGATTCGTAACAGTTTAAATGAAGCGAATTCTTAGTTGTATCAGTTAAAATTTTCTCGTCTCTCCATCAATCATGAATCATGTATCAGGAGAAGGAAGTTTATCCTATATGGAGATATCGGTTGATATATTGCAACCCTTGAGAGAGGGCACACATGTCACACACATGTTTCGATTTCAATTTAGAGAGAAAATTAAAACGTTATTGCTCAATTTCACAAAAAAGGCGATTTTTTTAAAAAGTTATTAATAGTTATTAATAGTCAGGTTTAGTCTACGATCTCAATTAATGCGGCGACACGTAAAATCTTCTCATATCTCATCTAAAGCGCGCTTCAAGCTGAAAATTCGAAATCGATAACCCAGTTTTTCGTAGCAAGTGACTTATTCATCCACACGGTGGGGTTCCTACACGAAGCCTCGCATTAAACAAGCCTTAACGAAGATATATCGTTGGAGGGTCTTAATGATTTTCTCCCAAAACGGACTTAGTAAGACTAAGTATTTTTTTAATAGATTGGTTCTCCGGTTGGCCCCAACATTCCAATTACAACCGTCAACCGAACGACGATGGCCTCAGCGACCAAGATTGCGTCGAAATACGTCGAGTTTACTTATTACCATCGGCCACGCCGAAATTGACCGCTGGTTTTATGTGGAATGATCGAGATTGCGCCACTCCAAACTATTTCTTCTGCGAGAAACTTCAAAATGATGGTGAGTATATAATAAGTTGAAACGAAATTAAGTTAAAACGGAATTTCCAGAACCGTTGGAAGAATCTTGGCCTCCCGACTGCAACAAGTCGATTATTCTCTCGCGGCAGCAACAAAGAGCCGTGGTATCCAGTCCCGGATTCCCACGTCAGTATCCGGATAATGCGGATTGTTACACTGACGTCACCGCCCCTAAAGGATATCGCCTCGTCTTGGATTTCGAAGAATTAGTCTTGGAAAATGAGCCGATGTAAATCTATTTTAAATCTTTTTGTTAAACATATAAACTAAACGTATTTTAAATATTTAAACAAAATAATTATAATTTTCTATTCACATTCACTACACTACTCGTTTGAGAACCTTCTAACCGACGAATCGAGTGTTTTCCCATCTTACCAGTACCACCATGTCACCCTCCTTGTATACATGAGGAATTCTTGTCTGTTTATGGAATCGTTTTTTTTGTTTAAGGTGTTGCTTTTCTATTTCTTTAATTACTTGTCTTCGATTTGTCATTACATCTAATTCTTCTTCTTCCTTATCCATTAACGCCAAAATCAAATAGTTTTGTAAGGAATTACGAGGTTTATAGGCAAAATGCAATTGATGCGCTGACTTCTTTGTCCTGAATTGTATGACTCTTAGATTTTTATCGCAATCTCTTCCTTCTTCGTCCTGACTCATGGTTTTTATGGATGCCATTATTGTTCTATTAAACCTCTAGCACTGAATAACAATAAAACTAGAACTAACACTAGACCTAGAACTAGAAAGTTCTGGGTTTAGCCGTGCGTCTGAAGACGCACGGCTAAACCCGGATATTTCTAGTTCTAGGTGTAGTGTTAGTTCTAGTTTTAGTTTAGTAACAATACACAACCTAGGGTTATCTATTGCCAACTAGTGCTATTTAGAACTGTCACTAGAACTGACACTACACCTAGAACTAGAAATATTCGGGCTTAGCCGCACGTCTTTCAAGTCGGCTAAACCCGAATGATTCTAGTTCTAGGTGTAGAGTCAGTTCTAGTGACAGTTCAATAACAATACACAACCTAGGGCTATCTATTGCCAACTAGCGCTACTTAAAACTGTCACTAGAACTAACATTAGCCCTAGAAACATTCGGGCTTAGCCGCACGTCTTTCAAGACGGCTAAACCCGAATGATTCTAGTTCTAGGTCTACAGTTAGTTCTAGTTTTAGTTCAATGACAATACACAACCTAGGGCTATCTATTGCCAACTAGCGCTACTTAGAACTGTCACTAGAACTAACACTAGACCTAGAAACATTCGGGCTTAGCCGCACGTCTTTAAAGACGGCTAAACCCGAATGATTCTAGTTCTAGGTCTAGAGTTAGTTCTAGTTCAATAACAATATACAACCTAGGGCCATCTATTGCCAACTAGCGCTACTTAGAACTGTCACTAGAACTAACATTAGACCTGGAATTAGAAACATTCGGGCTTAGCCTCACGTCTTCAAAGACGGCTAAACCCGAATGATTCTAGTTCTAGATCTAGAGTTAGTTCTAGTTTAATAAGAATACACAACGTGGGGCTACTTAGTGCCAACTAGCGCTACTTAGAGTTGTCACTAGAACTAACACTAGACCTAGAACTAGAAACATTCGAGCTTAGCCTCACGTCTTTAAAGACGGCTAAACCCGATTGATTCTAATTCTAGGTCTAGAGTTAGTTCTAGTTTTAGTTTAATAACAATACACAACCTAGGGCTATCTAGAGCCAACTAGCGCTACTTAGAGTTGTCACTAGAACTAACACTAGACCTAGAACTAGAAACATTCGGGCTTAGCCGCACGTCTTTAAAGACGGCTAAACCCGAATAATTCTAGTTCTAGGTCTAGAGTTAGTTCTAGTTTTAGTTCAATAACACTACACAACCTAGGGCCATCTATTGCCAACTAGCGCTACTTAGAACTGTCACTAGAACTAACACTAGACCTAGAACTAGAAACATTCGGGCTTAGCCTCGCGTCTTTAAAGACGGCTAAACCCGAATGATTCTAGTTCTAGATCTAGTGTTAGTTCTAGTGACAACTCTAAACCTGAATGGTTCTCGAATTATAATTGGAATTAGTTACGGGAATTTCAAATAGTTAGGGGAATCAATGCTAATTCTTTTTGCTAAACAAATAAACTAAACGTTGTCACCCTCCTTGTATACATGAGGAATTCTTCTCTGTTTATCGGACCGTTCTTTTTGTTTGAGTTGTTGTTTTTCTATTTCTTTAATTGCTTGTCTTCGATTTGTCAATACATCTAGTTCTTCTTCTTCCTTATCCATTAACGCCAAAATCAAATGGTTTTGTAAGGAAATACAAGGTTTATAGGCAAAAAGCAATTCATGCGCTGACTTCTTTGTCCTGAATTGTAAGTGTCTTAGTTTTTTATCCCAATCCCTTCCTTCTTGGTCCTGATTCATGGTTTTTATGGCTGTCATTGTTGTTCTATTGTACCTCTCGACTTAACCATTTGCACGAGGAGTCGCAGTAGCATTCTGAATATACCTTATTTGATTTTCATTACAGAATTTATTTGAAGTAAACGCAATTTCTTGATCGCTTATAATTCTATGTGGTGGTCCAAAGACCGAATTGATCTCTTTCAATACTGAAATGACTGATGCTACCTACATACACAATTAAATATGTTGTCCCTATAGAGCTCTTTGGGAATGGTTTAAGGTGATTTATATTGACTGTATGAAACTGTATCGGTTTCCTCTCGATATTATGTAATTGTCTTTTCTTCTTATAATATACTAGTTATACTACTACCCACAATCTTTCAGTTCCAACCTTTCCAAACAGACACTCTTCAATAAGTTCATAATCGGTATGTAACTTGCCTGTCAATATTATTATTAGGTTTCATAGTTAATATAGTACAAATCTCCTTCAAGTTTGGATCTTGTAACTGCATTGTAACAAACCAATCTTCTTTTGATATTCTCGTGGTTAAAATTTGTGAACATGCCACATCTGGTTCTTTCTTCTTTAAAGCCAATCGCACGGAGTCGCAATCAGTAATAATTTTAATTCTTTTTCCCAGAACATATACCCGGAATTTTTCCAACGCTTTTACAACAATCTATTCTTCTAATTCGAAACTATAATATTTCGCTTAATTTTCTGATGTCTGTCTGCTAAAATAGCACATCGGATTCCATTGTTTTTCAGATTTCTGCATTAAAATGCCAGCTAGACCAATCTTACTGGCGTCGGTGTGTATTTCGTGTTCTGCTTTGGAATCGTATAATGCTAACAAACGCAATGTCAACCTCAATTTTGACATATTTGTAATCTTCATTAAAAACCCTTTAAAATGAGTCCAAACTCGACATATTTATCTTCAATATTAATGAAGTTATGGTCAACTTCCGGTTAAGAATGTCAATGTCAATTTTGACATATTTGAAATCGTCGTGAAAAATCCTTTAAAATGAGTCCAAACATGATACGTTTAATTCCAATATTACTCGAGATATAAGCAACTTCCGGTTTGAAATGTCAATGTCATTTTGACATATTCTTAATTTTTATAAAATGTCTTAATATTTGTCACAAAAACAAAAATATAATAAAAAAAAATTAAAAATTAAGGTTGGTATTAATATTTAAAAATTAAATTGCTATCTTCATTGTTGCTAACTTCGGGTTTAATGTTTTTTATTCTAACTTTTTTGTTTTTTGAGATAAGGCCGTCTTGTTTGGATTCATTTTAAAGGTTTTTTAATGAAGATGGTAAATATGTCAAAATTGACGTTGACGTTTCAAACCGGAAGTGATCGTATTTCCATTAATATTAAAGTTAAATATGTCGAGTTTGGACTCATTTTAAAGGATTTTTTATGCAGATTACTAATATAATAATAAAATTAAAGTTGACATTGAGAACTGAAAGTTTTTTTCACGACTAAACCCGAATATTTTTAGTTTTAGTGCAATAAAAATATGCAACTTTGTGATATTTTATGCTAACTAGTGCTACATACCGCTGTCGTTTGTAAAATGGATAAGATGAGAAATAATAATAAATATATTTATTGACTCAGAGAAAACAGGGTAGTGAGTCTTGTATTTCTACTGATAACTTCCGTAACTCCCTCTGCTTTGCTATGATATGTGGACTCTGGCTATGTGGATGGCTTGTTGGCATGCCAATTTATTCTTCTTCGCCTCATTCAATTGAGTTATGTTCAACAGTTCACTTTCATCACAATTAATAAACACAGACTATTACAAACAAAGCTTTGTTTTTAGAAGAATACTCACTAAGATATTCGTCCTTTATCAATCTTGCCTATGGCCATGTTATTTCTTGAGTTGAGGCTCCTCCTTTTTGTACTAAAAATTATTTTTATGCAATTGATAGTTGCAGTGACTTCACCTGAGTTCATCCCAATAGCATTTTTTGCCTTGTTGAACCAACCGATGCACCAAGTCCAACTTCTGCAAAAAGTAACATACACACTGATCTTAGTATGGCTCTGGTCATCTCAATGTCAGTCTGAGGTGATTTTTCGGAATCTCGAGTTGGGAAACAACACATATACAGTGTGTTAATTAATTATCGTATCCACGTCATCATTGCAAGTATGCAACCAATATTACAGTGCAATACGTATCATACGCAAATCGCGTATTGCAATAAAAATACTGTGATATTGGTTGCATACTTGCAATGATGACGTCTGGTACGATAATTAATTAACACACTGTACGTATCAAATTTCATATAAAAAATAAAGTTGTGTTGAAAATTATTGTACGACAATGAGTAACAATGTATTATTGAATACGAATTGAAATAATTGTACATGTACGATAATTATCGTTGTGTTTTCCAATCAAAACCTTTTCCAGGTCATCCACCTGCACTCTTTTCATGTCCACAGTCCAATTAATTTTAATTCTTTTGATTTAGATGCAGCTACGATTTTCTCGAAATCACCGAATCGATTCATACGAATAACACATCCAATATAATCGCCGTCCCCGCAACTTTATCATTATCCGCCCCCGTCTTTAATAATTCCGAAACCGGAAGGCGACTATGCGGAGATTGGAGCTCCAAGTTGAAGCTTCTCCGTTACGTTAGTCGAGGTTCCAAGTTGAAATTACGTTTTAACTCTGATTATTCGCATCACTTCGGCGGATTCAAAGTGCGCATATCCATGGAAAACGGTAAATTTTATTCAAAAAAAAAATTATTTTAAATTATTATTTTAATAAACATTTCTTAGCATTACAATGTGCCGATGATCGATTTCAAATCTTCAATAACTCGTGTTACCTCTTCGTTAGTTACCCCGCGGTAACTTGGAACACGGCCCTTCAAATTTGCCACGGGATTAAAGCCCAATTATCTTCTATTCTAACATCGGAAGAAGAAGATTTTGTTACGACGAATATTCGAAAAACTTCCGAGTATAGAACGACGGCTGGTTATTGGCTAGGTGCGCAGCTAGATAACGCCGGGAAATTCTCTTGGATAGACGGAAACGAATTGGGCTTCACAAAATGGCTAACGGAACGAGAAGACGACGAAGAAAACGACATCAATCGCTCGTTGATGGAACCTTTATGCCTTGCGACGCAGTGGACGCCCTCGAGGGAATCGACCATCCCCAGCGGGTTTTACTGGAAATCTCTTAAGTGTTCTTCTATAGGAGGTTATGTTTGTAAACGTCCGAGAGAGAACATTGACCCCAAATTAAACTATAACCGAACGGTAAACGGAACTGAAGGTGAATTGACCACACCAAATTATCCCAACAACTATTATGATAACCTCGATTTTTCCGTGAGGATTCGCGGCCCGGAACGAACGAGAATAGTGTTGCATTTTGAGCGCATCGACCTCGAGCCCCAATTGGAGTGCCTTTACGATTTCGTACAGGTCAGAAGTCGACCCAATAAAAACCACGCGAGAGATGACGTCAAATTTTGCGGGAGATACGACACTGATATGACCCGTTACGATTTTGTATCTCAAGGAAACGAAGCGGAATTAATCTTCCACTCCGATTATTCCATCACCGCCGGTGGTTTCTATTTAAGATGGTACGCCGTCGACACAACGGGATGCCCCGAACAAACACTCACCGCAAAAGAAGGAATCATCCAAAGCCCGAATTACCCCAACTTTCTTTTAGGAAACCTCGATTGCACATTTACGGTTTTAGCCCCGCCGGGGAAAAGAATATGGTTGGAGTTTTTAGATTTTGAGATCGATGACTCGCTCGGTTTGAGAATCGGGGATAACACCCCCATAATTAAACCATTCACAAACCCCAACATACTCACCGACGGAACTTTTCTATCGATAGCTGAAAAGCTCGTCATAAAATTGAAAAGTAAAAGTTCGCCCAAAGGACGTGGATTCAAAGCGATTTACAGATCCCTTTTGGACGTTAACGAAGAGAAAGTTATCGAAATTCATAACGGAACGTCCGGAACATTGCTTCATTTAAACTACCCCGATCGGCCGCCCCCAAACGCGACGATAACGCATCACTTCGTCGCCCCCATCGGACACATCGTTTCAATTGAAATGTACAACGTCAGGGTGAACACCGCCGAAAGGGGTGGTTGTGCGAAGAACAACTCGATTGAGATTTACGACAGCTACGCCGATGTTAACGGTACACAGTGGATTTTATGTCACGATGAGGGAGCAAATTCCGAACAACCGGATCCCCCTCTGGTCATAAATTCTTTTCTAAACACGCTTTATGTAAAACAAAACTACGATTTAATTGGGGACGTCTTCATAAATGCTACGATTCGTGTCAAATTTGATGACGGATATTTTAAGAAGATTCTCAAATATAAAAATGATATCGTGGAATCTTGTGATCCAAATCCGTGCCAACATGATGGGAAGTGTATTGCAACGGTTAATGGAAAAAGAACGTGTCAGTGTCAGAAATATTTTACAGGTAAAGTTATTAATTTTTTTATGTACTAACATTTATTTCCGATTTTATATTTTATTTTAAACGTCGCCGGTACCAACCTAACTTTAATATTTTGATGATTGATGCGATTTTAGATTCAATCTTTTTTATTTATGTATTTGGTTATTATTATTTGTCGTAATTATTTAAAATTACGACAAAGAAATTTTAATTTTTAATTATTGTGTGAAGTTAGCTGCTTAAAGAAATGTTTACTGATTAGAAAACTAACCTAAAAAACATTCATTTGACGTTTTAAATATTCTTAACGATGTTTTCGAACATAACCTAATTCAACTCAATTCCTTTTGAAGAATTTTATCATTAACACGGTAATCTTTATATCTTATCATAAAATATCATACTTTGTCTTCAATTTATTTATGATTTCGTATAACCTANGTTTGTAGGTTATGTTTATTATGTTTTGTTCATGGATGTAATAGAGACACTCTATTACATCCATGGTTTTGTTTTGACACTGTCATACCGCAAGCGCTATCTAACGGACAATTTAACTTGTTTTAGGCAGTGTGGTTCCTACGTCACAGAAAAGCCGCGAAATTATTTCGTTTGAATATTTGCTATTTTTCACTTCAAATTACGCAAAATATAAAATTGATTAAAATATAATCATCTTATATATCATCTTTTATCTTCAATTTGTGATATACCTACTTCTTATTTCCCAAAAACAAAGCTAAAATGATTTTTTTTCATTTTGACATTTTAGAACATAACCTAATTCAACTCAACTCCTTTTAAACAACTTTTCTCCTACAATTTTTATTATTAACATGGTAATTTATTTATCAAAGCATGAAATATCATCTTTTATCTTCAATTTGTGATATAAATCTTTATCTCCCAAAAATAAATCTAAAACGATTTTTTTTAATTTTAGCATATTAGAACATAACCTAATTGAACTCAACTAATTTTAAACAATTTTTCTTCGCAAATTTTTATTATTAACAGGGTAATTTATTGATCAAATCATGAAATATTATCTTTTATCTTCAATTTGTGATATAAATCGTTTTTTAACTCCCAAAAATAAAGCTAAAACGATTTTTTTAAATTTTGACGTTTTCGCACATAACCTAATTGAACTCAACTCCTTTTAAACAATTTTTCTTCCCAAATTTTTATTATTAACATGGTAATTTATTAATCAAATCATGAAATATCATCTTTTATCTTCAATTTGTGATATAAATCTTTCTTATCTCAAAAAATAAAGCTAAAACGTTTTTTTTTTAAATTTTGACGTTTTCGAACATAACCTAATTCAACTCAACTCTTTTTAAACAATTTTTCTCCGCAAATTTTTATTATTAACATGGTAATTTATTTATGAAATCATGAAATATCATCTTTTATCTTCAATTTGTGATATAAATCTTTCTTATCTTCCAAAAATTAAGCTAAAACAACTTTTTTTTAATTTTGACGTTTTCGAACATAACCTAATTCAACTCATCTCCTATTAAACAAATTTTCTCTGCAAATTTTTATTATTAACATGGTAATTTATTAATCAAATCATGAAATATCATATTTTATCTTCAATTTGTGATATAAATCGTTACTTAATTCCCAAAAATAAAACTAAAACGATTTTTTTAAATTTTGACGTTTTAGAACATAACCTAATTCAACTCAACTCCTTTTAAACAACTTTTCTCCTACAATTTTTATTATTAACATGGTAATTTATTTATCAAACCATGAAATATCATCTTTTATCTTCAATTTATGATATAAATCTTTCTTATCTTCCAAAAATTAAGCTAAAACAACTTTTTTTTAATTTTGACGTTTTCGAACATAACCTAATTCAACTCAACTCCTTTTAAACAATTTTTCTTCGCAAATTTTTATTATTAACATGGTAATTTATGTATCAAATCATGAAATATCATCTTTTATCTTCAATTTGTGATATAAATCGTTTCTTAATTCCCAAAAATAAAGCTAAAACGATTTTTTTTTAATTTTGACGTTTTCGAACATAACNATCTAAAAGAGTCAAAAAAGATGCTAATTTAAAAATTCCTGGAAGCCGTATTTATTGAAATTAAGAAATGAGACTTCTTCTAAATTAAAGCTCAAAGCTTTCTCTTTAAAATGATGTATAATAATTGTTGGGCTGGATTGCAAAAATAAAGCTAAAACGAATTTTGACGTTATAGAACATAACCTAATTCAACTCAACTCCTTTTAAAAAATTTTTCTCCGCAAATTTTTGTTATTAACATGTTTATTTATTTATCAAATCATGAAATATCATCTTTTATCTTCAATTTGTGATATAAATCTTTCTTATCTCCCAAAAATAAAGCTAAAACGATTTTTTTTTTAATTTTGACGTTTTCGCACATAACCTAATTGAACTCCTTTTAAACAATTTTTTTCCCCAAATTTTTATTATTAACATGGTATATCATCTTTTATCTTCAATTTGTGATATACCTACTTCTTATTTCCCAAAAATAAAGCTAAAACGATTTTTTTTCATTTTGACATTTTAGAACATAACCTAATTCAACTCAACTCCTTTTAAACAACTTTTCTCCTACAATTTTTATTATTAACATGGCAATTTATTTATCAAATCATGAAATAATTATCATCTTTTATCTTCAATTTGTGATATACTTACTTCTTATCTCCCAAAAATAAAGCTAAAACGATTTTTTTTAATTTTGACATTTTAGAACATAACCTAATTGAACTCAACTCCTTTTAAACAATTTTTCTCCTACAATTTTTATTATTAACAGGGTAATTTATTGACCAAATCATGAAATATCATCTTTTATCTTCAATTTGTGATATAAATCGTTTCTTAACTCCCAAAAATAAAGGTATACGATTTTTTTTAATTTTGACATTTTAGAACATAACCTAATTGAACTCAACTCCTTTTACACAATTTTTCTCCGCAAATTTTTATTATTAACATGGAAATTTATTGATCAAATCATGAAATATCATCTTTTATCTTCATTTTGACGTTTTCGAACATAACCTAATTCAACTCATCTCCTATGAAACAAATTTTCTCCTCAAATTTTTATTATTAACATGGCAATTTATATATCAAATCATGAAATATCATCTTTTATCTTCAATTTGTGATATAAATCGTTTCTTAATTCCCAAAAATAAAACTAAAACGATTTTTTTTAATTTTGACGTTTTCTAACATAACCTAATTCAACTTAACTCCTATTAAACAATTTTTCTCGGCAAATTTTTATTATTAACATGGTAATTTGTTTATCAAATCATGAAATATCATCTTTTATCTTCAATTTGTGATATAAATCGTTTCTTAATTCCCAAAAATAAAGCTAAATCGATTTTTTTTTTAATTTTGACGTTTTCGAACATAACCTAATTCAACTCAACACCTTTTAAACAAATTTTCTCCGCAAATTTTTATTATTAACATGGTAATTTATGTATCAAATCATGAAATATCATCTTTTATCTTCAATTTGTGATATAAATCGTTTCTTAATTCCCAAAAATAAAGCTAAAACGATTTTTTTTTAATTTTGACGTTTTCGAACATAACCTAATTCAACTCAAAACCTTTTAAACAAATTTTCTCCGTAAATTTTTATTATTAACATGGTAATTTATATATCAAATCATGCAATATCATCTTTTATCTTCAATTTGTGATATAAATCGTTTCTTAATTCCCAAAAATAAAGCCAAATCGATTTTTTTTTTAATTTTGACGTTTTCGAACATAACCTAATAAATTCAACTCAACTCCTTTTAAACAATTTTTCTCCGCAAATTTTTATTATTACCATGGTAATTTATTTATCAAATCATGGTATATCATCTTTTATCTTCAATTTGTGATATACCTACTTCTTATTTCCCAAAAATAAAGCTAAAACGATTTTTTTATATTTTGACGTTTTCGAACATAACCTAACTCAACTCAACTGCTATTAAACAATTTTTCTCTGCAAATTTTTATTATTAACATGGTAATTTATTAATCAAATCATGAAATATCATATTTTATCTTCAATTTGTGATATAGATCGTTTCTTAACTCCCAAAAATAAAGCTAAAACGATTTTTTTTAATTTTGACGTTTTCGAACATAACCTAATTGAACTCAACACCTTTTAAACAATTTTTCTCCGCAAATTTTTATTATTAACATCGTAATTTTTTTATCAAATCATGAAATATCATCTTTTATCTTCAATTTGTGATATAAATCGTTTCTTAATTCCCAAAAATAAACCTAAATCAATTTTTTTTAAATTTTGACGTTTTCGAACATTACCTAATTCAACTCAACTCTTTTTAAACAAATTTTCTCCGCAAATTTTTATTATTAACATGGTAATTTATGTATCAAATCATGAAATATCATCTTTTATCTTCAATTTGTGATATAAATCGTTTCTTAATTCCCAAAAATAAAGCTAAGACTTTCTTTTAAATTTTGACGTTTTCGAACTAATTTTTCTTTAAAAAATATTTTTCAATAAATTTTCATTATTAACTCAACGATACTTGTATCATATCTTAGTCATCAATAATCTCACACGGAAATTAGACTTGCGGTTAATTAGCAAGAAAATCTTGTTGAAAACACTTGTTGATGTACTATCGAAAGTCCCAGTAGTCGAACACCAACAACTGTAATTCGACGATGATATCGTCGACCCTATAAGATAAGGTTCCCCACTTTAGCTAAAGAGCCATTAAAAACAGATTACGTGGCCCCTACTTGAGTTTAATAGCGAACTTTAAGAGAAAGAGCTTTAACACAAACTTTACTACAATATATAATTACCGTTTGCTATATAACACCTAATGAATTTTTAAAGTTTAATTTAGTGCATTTTAAAAACTTTTCGCAGGTTTGTTTTGTGCCTTAACTCAATGCGACTTGGAACCGTGCGTTTTTGGAACTTGCGAATTAACCGAAACGAACTTTAAGTGTCGTTGTAAGAGTGGATATTTGGGCGCGACGTGCGAACAAAAACGAAAACCTTGTCAAGATAATCCGTGCGAGAGTCGCGGGATTTGCACGGAACGAGGAAATTCGTTTCATTGTCAGTGTCACGCGTGGTGGGAAGGAACAAGATGCGAAAGAAGAATGATGCATATTCCTTACAAACCGTTAAGCGAACGAATGCTTCACGAACCGTTTTGGCTTGGTTTAATGACCGTTACTGTGGTTATGGGGGTTATAGGGCTCGTTTGGTGTGCCAAAAGACATTTTCCAGAAAAGATTGAAAAATTGTTAGCTGAAGAAGATGATCGATCGAGAAGTGGAGGTATAAATTTGTTTAAAAAATTGTTATTTTTTTTATATAAATATTTCTTTTAGTGTCTAGTTTGAGAAGTTCTTCGGTGAGGGAACAATTAGCGGCGGCTTCCGCTGCGGCTTCAGCAGCTGGAGTTGCAACGTCTGGGTCATTAACCAATCCGGGAACGGGGGTTCCTCGATCGCTCTTCGGACGTCTCGGTATCCGAAAGCCATCAATCCTCAGCCTAACCAGCCCACACGCAGGCGGATATTCACCAGCAACCGCTCGTACCTTTAGTTTGGATGATTTGCTAAAACCCGCTCCGAGACGTAAGGCAATGTGTGCCAAATCTGATAACCTTCTTCGTGATAATAACCTTTCTATGTCTCTTTTCTTCTTTACTCTCTGTCTCTTTATATCTATGCAACTCGAGCACTCTTTCATTTTTACAGCAAACCTTCACTCTTTACAGTGTCCGACAAAAAATTGGCAATTACCCTGTTCTTTTTGGTTCTATTACATCTACGCCTTTAAAGTTTTGTTTGTTTGATATTCAAATTGTTGATACCTAGAACTTTTTGTTTTCGTTATTTTCATTTTTAGTAACACATAATTTTCAAAAAATTATATCAACTGTATTTTTAAGTCTCATGATTCTAGTTTATGCAGTTTTTATCACAGTTGTCAACAAAAACCTTGGGATATATTGTACACGATCCAGTCTTTCAAAGATCTATAGTGTGGTATGGTTAGAATCTTTATCCTGTTTATAGATAAAAGCTCGCAAATATCCCAATTTTTCTGCACATTGCTCAATTATAATATACACCTTCGCAGTCAATATTCCATCCATGAAATGAAGATTTCTAAATCTTGCCTCTAAAAAACATCCCCAATTTCATCACCAAGCTTTCACCACGTTTGAACCACTTATTCCTTTACTCTTCTAAGGGCTGATCTTACAAAACAGTTTATACCGCTCCGTATACCAAGAATAACTAAAAGTTGGTATAAACACTAGAATAAACGTCTTACAATACCGGCGTATAGCATAAGTAATGATATACGGCGCAGGATAGCTGTACTGTGCAATTCAGCGCGAATAGCTTATACTAGGAATAAGTTAAGGACTGTTTAGCATTGATTATAATTAATCAGACGTAATAATTATTGTATGAAATGGCTTCAACAAATAATGGCCTTGTCTAAAAGTACAAGCACATATTAATTTTTAATTTAGCATCAGCAATAGTTTGCACGAAAAAAATCCTTTGCGATTACGATATAATTCCGCATTTCCGCCACATGGGTACAGTCAATAGCATCTATGACATACGAGACTTTTGCTATGCAATAAACTTGCAACTTAACGCTATCTAATTCTTGAGAGCCTCAGATTTTGAGGCATAAAAATATATTGTAGCCTTAACGATGCGATTGCCAACGTCACAGCCTTTACGATCTGTCCAGCAGATGCTTTGCTGATGCCAACAAAATCTGCCATTGTAAGGAGCATAGAACCAGAAGCATAAAATCGTAACGTCAGCAGAGGCTTCATTTCACTGGTAATCGGTTTCTGGTTTCTATTAGTCCTGGATGAGATTCGCCCTCTAATAACCTAAACCGCATCTTAAACTGATCTTCTGATAAGGTTTCCAAATAATTTACCCTGAGAAGAAGTACATAAGTACAGTCATTTTCACGGGAAATGCACACTCAAGGTTAAGCGCTGTTGTGAGATTCGACATGCTTGACATGGAAAAAATAGCAGTAGCCATGAGTAACTATGTGTTTGACTGTGATAATGATGACGAAATTAGTCATAGGAGACGACAGTTTAGACGTGCGAAACAATATAAAATACGGTAAAAGTGCCTTATTACTAGTCCGTTTATAATTACTCTATGTAGTCATGTTCACGGGAAATGCACACTCAAGGTCAAGCGCTGTTGTGAGATCCGACGTGCCGCTGGCTAAACGGGCTGAGCCGAACGCCTATGAGCAACGAGCTTCGTGTGCGCTCGGCTCAGCCCGTTTAGCCAGCGGCACGTCGAATCTCACAACAACGCTTGACCTTGAGTGTGCATTTCCCGTGAACATGACTGTACATAGAGTAATTATAAACGGACTAGTAATAAGGCACTTTTACCGTATTTTACATTGTTTCGCACGTCTAAACTGTCGTCTCCTATGACTAATTTCGTCATCATTATCAGAGTCAAACACATCTACGTCCACATTCATATTCGTAAAGACGTAAAATGAAAATATAAACAGAATAATGGTAAACACCGCTGATCAATTTGACAGTCGCTAAATGTAAACAAACCACATGCGCGCTGCGCGTTATACCCACAGTATTACCAACTTCAACCAACCATTGCAATAACTATTCTGGCTAAGAAAGGCTTTATAAGACGCATTCGTTAAATTAATGCCGAGAATAAATTATTCTGGGAATAACTATTCCACTGATTATACCAACACTTGTAAGATCGGCCCTAAGTGAAATAAATCATCAAAAATATTTGAAATTTGTACTACCATTCTTGAGTAAGGTGTGATTTTCTAATTTGTGTTCTAACGTGGGTGAATACGAATACGGATTTTGCATACTATACAGTCCGTCCGTAAAGTAACGGATATAGGTGATAAAATCATTATGAACGGTTTATGGAAAAAACCCTGAAACGGGTCTAAAGATTCAAATTTTTTGCAACTTTTTGGCGTAGGTTTCAAATTTTTTCCGCCATTTTTAACCAAGTTATGACGTCATAGATATTTTTTTCAAATGGTAATCCCCCATTTTTATTACGGAATATGAAAGAGAATTTTTTTCTGAATCTAGTACAGTTAATATTAATATTGGTTACATAAGAAAATTTTCGAAAAAAATTACTTTAAAGTTTAATTACTTCAAATTCGTTTGACATGAAAAAATAGCAAGAGTCATGAATAACAATCGGTTTAATTACAAATAAAATTAATAAATTTATAGAATAAATGAAAAATTAAGTTAAGTGTTCAAATTGTGCATAGTAACCTAAACGATTTTTAAATTCTTCCTGACAATTCTCTAAGATATCAGAAATTATTCGCTGAACTTCTTCTCGCATTTTGATTTTTAGTTCATCCAAAGTATTTGGTCATCAGGTGATCTTGCAGGCCATTCAATTGGCCCTCTTCTCCCAATCCACTGATTGGCAAATAATTGATTTAAATATGCACGAACAGGAACCGCATAGTGTGGCGGCTCGCCATCTTGTTGGAAGAACAATTGCCGTTGAAATCGACTTGGATCAACATCATCGGAAAATCTGGCCGTTATGGAAAGAATGAGATCTGTTTGTAGAAAACCTAAATGTCTCTCTCCAGTTAAGGTTCCCTCAAAAAAGTAAGGGCCCAGGATAGTATAATAATAATAATATTAATAATAATAAGTTTATTGCCACATTATACAGGAGAAAAATAATATATATGTATACATAAATGAATTAATTAATAGTGTATGTTGACAAAAGGTCAGTTTATGGCCAAGAACGATGTCTTCCAAAAGACCCAACCAGCAATGTATATAAAAAAAAATAATAATATGGCATTATTAAATAATTCAACATTTAAGCAAAAAGAAGAAAAAGAGCAGAGGAAAAGAAAAACAAAAGAAGAAACACAACGAGTACAGTTGATAGAGAGGAGGAAGAAAAAGGAAAAGAGAAGAGAAGCAGGTGACATGAAGAGTTAGATTCAGATAATTGCAGTGTTAATAGATAATCCCTTAAGCAGACCTTAAAGGTTAGAAAACTCTGAGTGTTGCGTATTTCCGTGGGTAAACTATTCCAAAGCTTTATAGCCTGCACCGTGAGAGGTCCATGATATCTCTCGGTGCGATGAACGGGAAATATGAGTAAGGTATCAGACTGTGCTCTAGTAGGCAGACCACGAGACGACATGAATTGAAAGTTGGTGTACAAGTATACTGGAGTTCGAGAAGAAAGTATTTTATACAGGGTGATTCATAAGTAATGGGCCAAATTGTAAATGTACGTTCAGGAGGCCAAAATAATAATATTTTCATTAACAATAATGGGTCTTAGTCTGCTCCTTACTGAGATACAGGATGTTAAAGCGAAAAAAATAAAATAGATTTTTGTTAATAGATCAGCTACTTTTCTACATAATGACTCATAGTTGACTTATAGTTTTTGTAAGGGTAAACAATAATGTGTGAGAGGATTTGAGTTAACTCGTAGATGTCGCCACATGCGCCATATGAATTANCTGGAAATGTCTATCTTTTTTTAAACGAGGGTTTTCGGTTTCCCAGGCATGACTATTTCGCCAATTAAAAACTCCGCGTCTGGTAAAGGTTGCTTCATCCGTGAAAAGAATGTTATTTAGGAATGTTGGATTATTATTCAATTTTCCTTTTAGCCACTGACAAAATTGAACTCTGATTCGATAATCTGTTGGAAGTAAATTTTGCACAGGTATAAAATGATAGGGATATAAATTTTCCTTGTGTAAAATTCTAGTCACGGATGGTTGGCTTATTCCAGTTGCTGCAGACAATCGACGAGTGCTTATTTCAGAATTTTGCGCAATTCTTACCAAAATTTCATCTTCTTGCTGCGGAGTGATAATCTTAGGACGTCCTGTATGATATTTTGGACGAAATGAACCTGTTTCACCCAATCGATTATAAATATTTTGAAATATCTTCCGGTTTGGCTGCCTTCTGTAAGGGTACATTTCACGATATTTTCTGGATGCTGCTTGCCCAGAAAAACGTTCTTGTGCGTAAACGCATAACATGTCTCTCATTTCTTCGTTTGAAAAGTGATTATGTCTCGGCATTTTGATTTATGTTAGGACAAGAATGAATCAGTTTACTTAACAATAAAATGTTTTAAACTATTCATTAAACGTAAAAGCTCATTGACGTTTCATAATTCATATGGCGCATGTGGCGACATCTACGAGTTAACTCAAATCCTCTCACACATTATTGTTTACCCTTACAAAAACTATAAGTCAACTATGAGTCATTATGTAGAAAAGTAGCTGATCTATTAACAAAAATCTATTTTATTTTTTTCGCTTTAACATCCTGTATCTCAGTAAGGAGCAGACTAAGACCCATTATTGTTAATGAAAATATTATTATTTTGGCCTCCTGAACGTACATTTACAATTTGGCCCATTACTTATGAATCACCCTGTATAATGTAGTCAGTATACGGAAGGATCTGCGCTTTTCGACAGTCAACATACGAAGGTGATTTCGATATTGCGTCACATGGTCGTACTTACCCAGGTCAAAAATAAAGCGTAGGCAATTGTTCTGCAATCTTTCCGCATATACACACCGCATCAGCATAATCTATGTGGGGCAGTATTAATGAGTAATAAAGATTACGACGGACAGCAAGGGGAAGGAAACAACCAAGTTTACGCAAGGAATGCACAACTTAAAGTGATTTAGTACCTGCCCAATACCGACAATTTTGCCTGTTAACTTGCCCACTCAATGTAAATGTTGCCTCATCGGAAAAAATTATGTTTTTAACGAAATCTTCATCGTCGTTGCACAATTTATTGTTGCAACTGCTCATAAAATTGCGATCTTCTATCAAAATCATCTTCATTGAACTCATGAATGAGGTTTATAGGGGATAATATTTTGCGGTTTTTAATATTTTGTGAACCGTTGTTTTACTAATGGCCAGATTCGGCCCAATATCCCTTACCGTAATATGAGGATTTTCTTGCATAGCCATAACAACGTTATATTGAGCCTCGTCTGAAACATTTGGTAGGCCAGACTTTGAAAGATCCCGTACATGCACATGATTTTTAAATTTAGTGACAATGCGGCTTATCGTACTTTGGCTTATGGGTTCATGGTCTGGATATGTTGCATTAAAGAGCTCTACTACTTCTTTTTGAGTTCGAGTTCGATCCCCAATTCTAATCAAACACAGAATTTCTATTCTTTCCCGCTCGGTCAAATGAAAGTAAACAATAAACAAAAATTAACTCAAAAGTGATGTAAGAATAGTTTAAATCAGTGCTACAAGAAACAACAAGCTTTACTAGTGAACAAACACTTTATCAGTGTTTGACACTTATAAAACTTAGAGAATTGTTTAAAATGATTGGTTACCATAGTTACTCATGGCTACTGCTATTTTTTCCATGTCAAGCAAATTTGAATTAATTAAACTTTAAAGTAATTTTTCTCGAAAATTTTCTTATGTAACGAATATTAATATTGACTGTATTAGATTCAGAAAAACATCTTCTTTCACATACCGAAATAAAAATGGGGGATTGCCATTTGAAAAAAATATCGATGACGTCATAACTCGGTTAAAAATGGCGGAAAAAATTTGTAACCTACACCAAAAAGTTGCAAAAAATTTAAATCTTTAAACCCTTCTCAGGGATTTTTCCATAAACCGTTCATAATGATTTTATCGCCTATATCCATTACTTTACGGACACACTATATATTAGTGGTGGAACGGATATCCGGTAACTATCCGGTATCCGACCTATCTGGCCATTTTTTTAAATCCGGCCGGATACCGGATAATTACCAAATATCAGGTTTGTCATTAGCAACCTCACTGTAACAATCCAAATACGATATACAGGGTGTCTCAACGAGATTAGGTCATTAGACGTTTCTGGAGTTCTGGCGAAAATAAAAATTTGAGAATTCAGACTTAAGTATTATCAATTACGATCTCTTCGACTAAAATGTTTTCAGATTTCTTGCACTTCCGGTTATACCGGAAGTCGCCACCTACTTTATTTTTTAAATGGAACACCCTATATATTTTTACATCTTTGGATTTGTCTGTTTTCAAGGTTTATAAATAACTTTACTTTTTGCAATTTGATTCAGCCGTTCTCGAATTTTCGAATTTTTCTAGAAAAATTGCTCCAGCGGACATTTGTTCAAAAAATCATAGAACACTCAATTTTTGAGATATCAATTTAGGATTCAGAACATGCTTAAATAACATGATGGAGTATGTTTTAGTGGCAAGAACAGCTGTCTAGATCGTTTGGTCACTTTACTATGATACGTTAACTTTTCGAAATTTGGAAACACCATAACATCATTTTTTTAAATGGCACCCCCAATATTTTATTACTTAGTCATCTTCGGCGTCTCATTTTACATCTTTTATACCTGATATGTCCTATGCCTAACATGTGGCGACTTCCGGTATAACCGGAAGTGCTAGAAATCTGAAAATATTTTAAACGAAGAGAACGTAATTGATAATACTTAAGTCTCAATTCTAAAATTTTTATTTTGGTCAGAACCCCAGAAACGTCTAATGACTGGTCTCGCTGAGACACCCTGTATAAAATCTCTTGTTGCAGTTCCGACTTTCAGTTCTTGAGAAATAAATTTTTGAAATGATCGACAATTTTTTCAAATTTTGCAATTTTCGCCGATTAAATTTTAAAAATTCGTATAAAATATCCCGTTCTTGGAATATGAGTATGAAAATTTCCCAAAATGTTAATAAAAGTGTCCTCTTTCCAATAAACCAACACGTTTTGAAAAATAACTTTCAGTTTTTGAGAAAACAATATTTGAAGTTTTGATAAAATTTTCGATGTTGCAATTTTCATCGATAATTTTCAAATTTCGTTATAAAATNAGTTTCTATAGATTTAATAAAACGATTCAAAATTATATTACAAACATTAGCAAGTGGACATACTATCAATATAGAAAAATTTAAAAATTATACGTTGGAAACGGCAAAATTATATGTTGAAAAATATTCTTGGAATCCAATGACCCCAACAGTACACAAAATATTAATACATGGTGCAGACGTAATTTCGAATTTCTAGTTGCCCATAGCATTGTTGAGTGAAGGAAGAAGCACAAGAGGCAAACAACAAAATTTTTAAAAAAGTTCGAGAATCATACTCACGAAAAATGTCTCGTGAAAAAACAAATCAAGATGTACTTCGTCGCTTGCTTATTAACTCTGATCCATATATATCAAGTATTACAGACAAACCGAAAAGAAAGAAAGTTACCGACAAAGAAGTTTTGGACATGATTTTAATTCGACGCTTCTTCAGAATCTGAATCTGATTGATAACTCATATCTATGTAAATATTTATTGTAATGTGTTATTATATTATTATTAATCCTATTTAAACCCATCCGCCACCAAATCAATCAAATTAAAACTTTTTTCCACATTTTTCCTTGTTTGGCCCCACTGTGCAACCATTGCAATAGCTATTCTGGCTAAGAAAGGTTTTATAAGGCGCATTCGTTAAGTTAATGCCGAGAATAAATTATTCTGATTCTAAATCATCAAAAATATTTGAAATATGTACTACCATTCTTGAGTAAGACGTGATTTTCTAATTTGTGTTCTAACGTGGGTGAATACAAATACAGATTGTGCATACTATACAGTGTGTCCCAGGATAGATGTTACAAGAGGTACAGAGACTTAAAAATTTTTGAATTTTATTTTAAGGCTCAGTAATTAAGCCCTGCTTGGTGTGAAGAGAATTTTAAAGTATATTTTCATATTTTTAAAATCAACTCAGTCTTGATAGTGAAGGAAAAACTATTTTGAGTTCAGGTAAAGTAAGCTTTTTGTTCATGATACGGCAAAATATCATTAAGAAAAGTTGTTCAGAGTGAGAAATCATGGCACTATGCAAAATATCAGAAAGATCTACCTACATTAATTAAACCACCATATTTTAGATTAGGTCAGAGTGAAGAAAAAAAAAAACAATGAAAAATGCCATAAAAAAAAAATGACTTAAGTAGTCGCAAATATTGACAAATAAATTGTATTATCCCTCAGTTTTAGTTCACATTTCAATTACTATACAATATTTATGTTATTTAAACTAAAACGTGATGGTTCAACCAAAGTAGATAGATCCTTCTGAAATTTTGTATAGGACCATAATTTCTCATTTTGAACAACTTTTCTTATTAAAATTTTTCCGTATCATGAACAAAAAGATTACTTTACCTAAACTAAAAGTAGTTTTCGATTCATTGTCAAGGCCGCCTTTGTTTTTAAAATATGATAATATTCTTAAAATTCTCCTCACACCAAGCAGGATTTAATTCCTTAGCCTTAAAATAAATTTCAAAAATTTTTAAGTCATTACACCTCTTGTAACATCTATCCTGGGACACACTGTATATTAGTGGTGGAACGGATATTTGGCAACTATCCGGTATCTCCGGCCTATCTGGCCATTTTTTAAAATCCGGCCGGATACCAGATAGTTACCAAATATCCAGCTTTGGCCGGATATTAAAAACCTATTACTTAGTACTCCACCATTCACAGGGTTAGTATCTCTTTTAGGTTTTGGTCACTGCAGATAATAATCAAATTCAACCCCAATAGGACTTTTTTCATTGAATACAACTTTATTTATATCAGGTTTGTCATTAGCAACCTCACTGTAACAATCCTAATACGATATATAAAATCTCTTGTTGTCGCACTTTTAGTTCTTGAGAAACAAATTTTTGAAATGATCGACAATTTTTTCGAATTTTGCAATTTTCGACGATAAGTTTTAAAAATCCGTATAAAATCCCCTTCTTGGAATATGAGTGTGAAAATTTCCCAAAATGTTAATGAAAGTGTCCTCTTTCCAATGAACCAACACGTTTTGAAAAATAACTTTTAGTTTTTGAGAAAACAATATTTAAAATTTTGATAAAATTTTCGATGTCGCAATTTTTAACATCCAATGTATCCTCTTTTTAGAGTTGCTTTTAGTTAAATCAGCATCTAAAAAGTTCATTTCGTATCTTGGATCCAAATAAATCGACATATTTTATCAGCTTTCTTATTAATTTCATTTTTATTCAAATATCGCAATAATGTAGCAATATAGGTAGTTGTAATAAAACCAAAAAGAAAACCAGTGTGTTGCAGACTTTTTGTAGGACACTGTACATTTAAAATGGAATTAAAAAATAAATTATATTTAATAACTTAATGATGATGTCGTCTCACGATGATGTTGCGTGTGGCTGGTAGGTTGCACATTAGCTAGTTGTTTTATTCATACTGTTGGGAGACCATCAGAAGCTTGAAGGTGTGGCTTTATGTAGAAATAGATGCTTAACAAAATTGCGTTAATTAATTTTTATTAATAAACGAAAACAACTTAACAGGTAGCCCCTCCCCGAAGAAAAAACGAAACAACTCAACACCAACAAAGAAAAATGCAGCAGAAAAAAAACAAATTCTTCAACAACTTATCAGCCCGGCCGCTTCAAGTCAAAACACAAGAAAAGTAAGTTTAGGGGACTTAATCCAAATGAGCGAACGGAAATTAAAAGACGACGATAATAAAGAGGAAATCAAAGAGACGAAATTAACCGTTAATAAAGAGATATCAGCGGGACACTTATCTTTGGTTGATCCAAAATTAGAAAAAAAAGTTACTTTCGCAAGATTACTCAGCAAGGTGTCTCAAGAAATGAGTTCCGGATCCGATTTAGAAATGGGAAACCGTTTAAGTTGCGCTTTCACCCGACCGGCTTCAACCCCTCCATCTCCAGGGGCTAACGTTAGATCGCCCAATAGCACCTCGAGTAACCAAGGTAGTGATTCATTAACAAGTTCAGATTTGGCTATACCAACTGCGTTAAGCTCGAGTATTTCCGATTTAATGTACAGCAGAAAAGCAAGTCTTCGATTACCAGCGAAACAAAAACCAGCAAGCGCAGATTCGATTTTAGCAATGTTTAGAAATTTCTCGTCGAGTTCGGCGGGTGCAAATCTCTCCCCATCACTAAGAATATCACCATCAACAACCCCCACGGCATCAAGTCCCCAAGATGACGTCGCTGGAGATGACGAATCATCCACATCATCCATCCATACCCCCGTATCATTTTCAAGCGGCCCATCGGAAAGCCCAATTATGCAAAGACAACAACAACAACAACAATATGGTACTATTGAAGTACCCGTTTTGGATGCGTTGAGTGCTCATAAATCTTCACCCGGAAGTAGTAATTTCTTGCATCCCCCGACGATACTTTTAGAAATACCCAGCGCAATCAATAAGTGCCTTTCACCTATAAGGGAGATGCCGACGCCTTTGCCTTCACCGATGCCATCGCAAGCTGCGACTCCGGTACCTTTACGAAGAACTAATTTCGCGGATAATAACGCAACAGATAGCGATGATCGGATATCGATTGAAATCCCGAATATTTCAATAAGCGATGGTGATGAAGATGATATGCATGGAATTCAAGACATAGCGATCGATCCTCAAGGTGAGGATGGGTTAATACAAGAAGAAGTTGCTGTTATGCATCAAGGAACCCCATCGCCAGTTTTAAAAATTAAGGTAATTATTGAAGTTGAGGTTTATTACTACTATCTATTTAAAGACAAAAATAGAAATACGTAGTTTCGTTATGAAATGTTGAAACCAATTGAAGTTTTATTCTAAATATAAACAACAATAATTTTCATGATAACGCCATGGTATAATGATTAGGGCACGGAACTTTTGTAACAAAACGATACGATTTCCCCCCTCCACTCGTTCTCAGCAGAAATTTCATACAAAAGTTGTTCTAAATTAAATTCTAAAACGATTTTCTCAATAAAAAAAAATATATAAAAATATACAGTGTGTCCCCGGATAGGTGATACGACTCTTATAAAAGGTAAAATTTGGTCGATATTAATTGTCATTCTTTGGGGTTTAGCCTTGCTTGATTAACGATTAATTTTGAACATATTATCAATTTTAAAAAAACAAGTGAGCCCTGACAGTGAAAGAAAAACTCTTTTTTCGAAAACTGCTAGTAAAAGTTGACTTTTGCGTAGTACTTAGCGACCGTCAAAACGATAGTTTTTTGTCAACAGGACGTAAAAGTCTTTTACTGGTCTTTCACGTCCAGGACGCAAAAGACTTTTACGTCCAGCTACGACAATCAAAGAATTTGATACTATTAATTGTTAATTTATTGTTATGAACAAATTATAAACACAAAATAATCAACATTTAATTGTTTTATCATTTCATTTCACGTTTAAATGCAAATTTATAATAGTACATTTGTTCAATAAGTGAGGTTAAATCGATGTGACGTTAAGTTTTTGACATCACATTAAATGAATTCTAAATGTCATTATACAGAATTTGATCTTTTTATTCATTTATAACTTTAGTATACGCAGTTTTCGAAAAAATGTTGTTTGATACACGACAGCGAAATTCTTTTGCATTCTCGAGAACTTTCGTTCTCGAATGCAAAAGTATTATTTCGCTATCTTGTATCAAAAATAACTATTTGCGGCAGGTAAAGTACCTTTTCTGTTTACAGTACGTGAAAGTGTTACTAAGAAGTTTTGTTCAAAATGAAAAACTATGGGCATATGCAAATTTTCGGATTGATTGGCCTACTTTGAAAAAATCCATATCAAACAATCTTATTTCTAACAAAGACTGCCATGGAAAAACAAAATTGCTTTCTTGTCACTGTTAATCTCTCAAACTGTAATTTAGTAAACTTAAAGTGTTTTTTAAATACAGTGTTAACATTAGAGGAAAAAGTTTACGTGATTCAGTGTTATGGAACCGGGGAATAACCGATTATTGCTTTATTTTGTGAAAAATTTTCAAATACTGCAATTAAAAGAAGTACTTGTTGGCGTTTAATCAAAAGATTTCTTACAACAGGAAGTATTCACTCTAAGAAAAAAAAATTATGATGAAACTGATTAACTATGATTAACTGTTTTCCTTTGTGGGCGAACACACACTTAATTTTTTGTGAACATTTTCAGAACCGTTTGTTTATTTCTCCCAAATAATCTGAATCTCAAAACAAAAAGTCGTAATAAAGTACTATTGACGAAAATAATAAACAATGGGTTTTATCAAAGTAGGCTGATGAAAATTTGCATATGGTCATAACTTTTCATTCTGAATAAAATTTCTTAGTAACATTTTACCATACTGTAAACAGAAAAGGTGCTTTACCTGACACACAAGAAGCTTTAGCTTCAGTGTCAACACTCACTTGTTTTTTAAAATTTGAAAATATGTTCAAAATTTAGTCTTTAATCAAGCAGGCCTGAACACCAAAACATGACAGTTAATATCGAAAAAAATTTACATTTTATAAGAGTCGTTTCACCTATCCGGGGACACACTGTATATATAAAATTTTTTTTGAGATTATGTTCTTAATTATTAATCAAATCAAAAATTTTTATTAATAATATTTGTTTAGAATTACTTCAGGAACAGTGTTTGTTAATACAATTTTATTATCTCAATAATAATTGTTTTTACTTTTAGATATACTTTTTAATAGGTTAAATGATTTTGGAATTTCAGTTAAATCTTCTAAATGCATTTTTGGTGTGCAATCCATAAATTTTTTAAGTCGTCACATTTCTCCTCTAGGCATTCGTCCTTCAGATAACAGAATTAAAATTATTAAAGAATTTCCAACACCAAAAACACTTAAACAGTTACAAAGATTTTTGGGTATGATAAACTTTTATCATAGATTCGTTCCAAATTTTTCAAATATGCTTGCACCTTTATATCATCTTTCGAATTTACTTTATAAAAATAAAAGCAAAATTATTGAAAATTGGTCAGCAGAGTGTAATCAAAGTTGTGAACTCTCTAGAACTCAATTAGCAAATTCAACAACTCTGGCTCATCCTTGTAAAACTGGTCAATTATCTTTATCTACTAACGCTTCTAATATGGAAATTGGAGCACTATTATCAAATTAACTTTTGATCGAGAATTGCTGGCATTCATCCATTAAATTTTTCAGACATTTTTTAGAAGGCAATCAATTTATTATCTGTACAGACCATAAACCAATAATAGCCTCGTTATATTCAAAATCAGAAAAAACTCATTCGAACCAGTTTCTGAAGAAGGTTGCAACATTACATCCGAAACGTCAAACCTTTTCGTAAAAGACGCACGGCAAAACCCGAAAGTTTCTAGTGTGAGTTCTAGTTTTAGTTCTAATTTTAGTTTAACATTTACAAACTACATAATTTAGAAATTTCATATAAGTCGCAATATATGAATGCAGTTCTAGTGATAGTGCTAGTATAAAACTAGAACTAACACTAGACCTAGAAAATTTCGAGGTTAGTGTTAGTTCTAGTTTTAGTGCAATAAAAATATACAACATAGTGATAGCTAGCAATATCATGTTTGGACTCATTTTAATGGTTTTTTTTAATAACAAAAGCATCATAAAGAACACCATGAAGTTGTCCATTTGTATTATATGATAACTAACTTCAGATTCAAAATGTCAACTTGACATATATAACCTTCATTAAAAATCCTTTAAAATGAGTACAAACACGACATATTTATCTTCAATATTAATGAAGTTATGGTCAACTTCCGGTTAGAAATGTCAACGTCAATTTTGACATATTTGTAATTGTGAAAAATCCTTTAAAATGAGCACAAACATGATACGTTTAATTCCAATATTAGTCGAGATATAAGCAACATCCGGTTTGAAATGACAGTGTCATTTTGACAAATTCTTAATGTTTATAAAATGTCTTACAATTTATCATAAAAACAAAGCTACAATAAAAAAAATTAAAAATTAAGGTTGGTATTAATATTTAATAATTAAATTGCTATCTTCATTGTTGCTAACTGCAGGTTTAACGTTTTTTATTCAAACTTACCTTAAAAAAACCTTAATTTTTTATTTTTTTTTTAATATTTGTGTTTTTGTGACATTGACATTTCAAATTGGAAGTTGATTATATCTCGAGCAATATTGGAATTAAACGTATCATGTTTGAACTCATTTTAAAGGATTTTTCACCACGATTACAAATATGTCAAAATTGTCAAAATGACGTTGACATTCTTAACCGGAAGTTGATCATAACTTCATTAATATTAAAGTTAAATAAGTCGAGTTTGGACTCATTTTAAAGGATTTTTTATGAACTTGACAAATATGTCAACATTAAAAATTGAAAGTTCGAACTTTTTGATTTTTTGAGATAAATGCGTCAAGTTTGGACTCACTTTAAAGGTTATTTTATGAAGATTACAAATATAATAATAAAATTAAAGTTGACATTGATAACTGAAAGTTTTTTTCATGACTAAACTCGACTACTTGTTCTGGGTCTTGTGTTAGTTCTAGTGATAATGTAAAATTAGAACTAATACTAGACCTAGATTAGAAATATTCAGGTTTAGCCCTGTGTCTTCAGACTTTTCTAAGTTCTTATCTAAGACGCCCGGCTAAACCTAGAACTTTCTAATTCTAGTATTAGTTCTAGTTTTAATTGATATTTAACCCTAAATTCTAGTACATTTTAATTGATCTAAAAATATTTTTTTTTGATTTAATCCACTTACCTTGCTTATAATTACATTCATTTACCCATTTTGAATTAAATACAACCTTTAAATCCAATCAATTATGTGTTTTTCATTAAAAAAAACTTAAATTCAACTTCAATTTTGACAAGCAACTGCAATATTTGGATCTTAATCACCATGGTAACCGAGTCAAGTTGGATAACCTTAAAATAATAAAATTTTATTCCGATTTTTTTTAACAATTCTAACCTAATTTTTATTGATTTTAAAACAATTCGAATTCTTTACGATTATCTCGCATTCATAACAAATTCGTTAATTGTAATTAATTTAAATCGATTCTAATTAAGAGAAATAAATTAAAAATTTTTTTTTTTGATTTAATTCCCTCACCTTGTTTATAATTCCCTAGATAAACCAATTTTGAGTTAAATACAGCCTTTTAAACCAATTAAATAAGACTTTTTCCTTAAAAAAAACTTAAATTCAATTTCAATTTTGACAAGCACCTGCAATATTTGGATCTTAATCACCATGGTAACCGAGTCATGTTGGATAACCTAAAAATAATAAAATTTTAACCGTTAATATTTCGCCTTATATTTTAATATTTTTTTTATTTTAGTTTATATCTTTTTTTTATATTTTTGTATATTGCTTCTTAAGTGAAATACACTGTATAAATAAAAACATAGAAATGTCAATTCTTCCAATGACGTCACAGCAAGGATAACCTTATACAGTATGTTTTTACTCAACGGACCTTGGGTTACGATAATTAATTAACACACTGTACCTTAAACACGGAAAGATCTATAACGTACCTTACGCAAATACTTCACCTGTTACAATGACGAAAGAGCCATTGTAGCCAAAATAATCTTCATAATAAGAAAACCAACACTACAGAATGTTAATATTTAAGTGATTTAATTATTTTTTGTTTTAGTCTCGCCCACATCCAATTGGCCAATCGATTTTATTACCACTTGTAACGGTTTCCGAAGAACCAACACCACCCCCAACGATGATCATCCCAACTTTAGTGATCCAAACGCCCTCCCCGACCCACAAAAAAGCACCGAATCATTTCGGCAAGCTTGGTTCACCCCCACCGCGACTTCAACAAGAAGAATTTCAATTCCCCGGAAGTTCGAACAAATCGAGGAAGATGCTTAAAGAATTCGATAAACCAACATCGTTAGATTTACCTTGCGCCCCACCCCTCATTACAATAACTTGTAATTTAAGCGAAGCCGAATCGGACACTGACTCAATTTCGCCAGCCATCAAACCAGGATTAAACGTCCCTCCCGGAATGACTTATCTAAGCCCTTTTTCAATGGTGACAAGAGGCGATCACATGGCATCTGAATCAAATTTAAGCTCATCAGGGTATAGCTCAATGGCAAGCCCCGGTCCTTCTAGATGCGGATCGAGTAACCCACTTTGTCCCTCGGAGATGGAAGACCCCGGTGGATCCGGTTCTAATTTACACCCACCTTTACGAAGGCATTCCCCATTAATTAGAACCTCAACTAGTCCCCCCGATTGCGGTTCATCCCAATCAAATCAAGATGATTCAAGAAGAGGGCATCACACACGCGGGAGATCCGATTCGGAAACTTTATCAGATGACCCATTAATAGAATCGAACGATGAAGGAATCGGCACTGACCACATCGACGAAAAAATTGAAGATGGCGAAGTAAAAAGCGCCAAAGAACTCGAAGTGTTTATAAGCGATAAAAAAATCAAATTAGATTTACCTTTAACAACAACGACGCAAGAAGAAATTAATTCAATACCATCGGGGGTGATGATGAAAACTTTGCAATTACCATCGATCATCGTTCAATGCGGTGATACCTTATCATTAGAAAAATCGATTTGTAGCCCGGTTAGTTCTCGTAGCGAAAGTCCTCTAAGCGATAGAACCACCGGAGTTGGAAGGTTTTCGCCCCAATTCTACGGGGGGCACAAAGATCTTTTACCATTCACCGATTCCGATGGATTATACGACTTCCCAAGTTCGGATAAAGTCAACTCGATATCCGGTGGGATTCACCAGCAACATCGCAAATCAACCGGGAGAAAAAGAGGCGAAAAACGAATGACGAGATCATCGAAAACTCCGAGTCCGACGAAGGGTAATCTTAATTATAATTACCATTTGGAACTTCCAAAAAAAGAGGCCGTTGTGAAGTTGCACAGTCTTCCGAGGAAAACTTCACCCAAACGGAGATTGAGAACTTCCAAAATGGTTAGTTCTTCATCTAGCTCGGAAAGTATTACTTCGGCGAAAGAAATGAGGTTATCTTCGTCGAGTCCAAGTCCGGAAACGATACGGTGGGCTTCGTCCGTTGATTGTTTCTCGGAAAAAAGAGTTAAGACACCGGAAGCTTCGGGAGAAGAAACGGGAGATGTACGTAAAAATGTAATTTTAGTGTAGATGTAGAATATAGATTTTTTTAGGTATTTAGGTAGTAAAGGAACCCTTTTTATAAAGAATAGACATTTTTAGAGTATCAATGTGCGCTTGCCAGCACACGTTTATACGATTTATAGGTTGTAAAATAATTAACACCACACTTACACTCATAAACACGAAAACATGTGCTAGATGAGTGCAGAAAACTTTTGATTTTAGAAATTTAGTGATATTGTAATCTTAATCAAATACTATCTTTTTCGCAGAAACTAATTTTGACTGCTTCGACTTATTAAGCCTGTTGAGATAACTGTCATGGTATTGCTACCCTTGTAAAAAAATGCTGTAACATTTCTTCCCAAGAAAACTCAAGCAGCATAATCTTGTCAGACTGAAAATACCGAGAGTAAAGCTACCCAAACTATTTTAAAAATTCAAATCTCTTTTTTCCTGCCTGACTTGCTGTTTTAAAGTTATGAATTCCCCAACGACTCTTTCTGTTCGTCAACGATGTTCAAGTTGATTGGATACCCGCTCTGCAAGGAGCAGTGTTGTTGGGTTATCATCCTCCATTAAGTAGGATGTTGATAGTGAGACATCCAAGTTAATCTCAGTATCCAAGTCTTCTGACAGTTGTATTTAACGTTTTGCAAACAGTTTCTAGACTTTTTAGACAGTATCTAATCTTCTGCCAACAGTATTCAATATTCTAGAAAAAATTTTTAGATTTCTGGCAGCAGTATCTATACTCTGTTTTTAAACCAGGAGGAGTAAACTCGAAAGTCAGATTTACACTAGGAAAAATCACCAGAAAATATCACTAGACATTTTGGCGGTAAATTTGCCATTACAAATTGCCAAAGAATACTTCATGGTATAATTAATGTTTGTAAACAAAACTAACCTTACCTCACATTCCTTCACGCTATAATTGACATTACAAAAGAAAACTTCACGCTATAATTGCCATTACTAATTGCCAAAGAATACTTCATGGTATAATTAATGTTTGTAAACAAAACTAACCTTACC